CTGAAGTACACAACACACACGAGAGTTACATTGTGTATTTCAAAGCTGCCACAGTGACGTTTCCACAGCGTTGCTTGCGTTTTACTCTATAACAGCGAGGATGGGCCCCAAATAACTAACAATTTTGACGTGTTTAATTTAAAAAGTGAAGATATGTAAATGAAATCTGATTCGTGATGTTAGTCTGGATGTTTTGAAAATTTAGGGAAAAAGAAGAAAAAAAAAAGAAGAAAATTCTGGGCTTTGGCTGGTTTTGGCTGAGTTTATCCTCTCAGAAAGCATCAGCATTTCTGAAGCTTGTTTATGTTTGTTTCTTTGTCTTTGTCTAGTTTTATTTGCATTTACTACTGCACTGTGTTCATCATGTAAACATGGCTATAAAATCCAATCAAATCTGTTTGTAAAAAAAAAAAACATGTCTTGTAGACATGAAATTCAGAAGGAACATCAAACATACTATTGGAAAAAACAAAATTTCCAGAATTAATATTTAAAGATTGTGATTAAAACACTACGTGTACAGAATTAAGATTTTGAGACTTACTTGGTTCTCTGAAATAAAGGCCCGGTACAGACTGTGGCTGAAATAGGGATTCAAGTTATCAAAGTCCTCTACATTAATCACCACCGAGGCTGTGTCATTCAATCCTCCGTTATCCTGCAGGGAAGGATAGTAAGACTATAATCATATTGATGTTCTTGATTGAAGTAGTTCAGTTGCTCGAAATAATTTTAACTCACCTTGGCCGTTACAGTAAAGTGGTAGTTTTGGACTGCGTTGTAGTTCAAACGTCTTTTCAACATAAACACCCCTGAGTCAGTAACTTCAAAGTCTTCTGTGGCTGGTGTCTTATGAAAAAGCAACAAAACCCCAAAACATCATCACCATGTTGTTATTGTTGTTTTTTATAATGACAGATTAAATACAGACACATTACCGATGACCAGTATGAATTACCTTATGTGAAAGCTTAATTATTTATATGATTTTCACTAACATTTGCATTAAAAATGTTTCTTTTTTACATAGAAAAATGCACAAAAAAAGAAACACAAAAATTAGTGAAGAGCTTTATTCTCAGCTAACACTGAAGTGACAAGTAAATAAACCTGCACGCTACTTCAAAAACACATACTCTCACTAGCTTTTCAATAAATTTAAATGTTTTTACAATGGAATATGTCACTCTGTTGTTTTGTGAGGTGGCGTCTGTATCCACAGCTGTCACTCGAATAACCTCAGCATTCAGATTAAGTGCCTGAAAGAAGAAAAAGTTAAATCATATACAGCCAGAGAAAAACACGTTTTGTAGTTCCATCCTATCCTACTTAATTTTCCTCTTAAGTACAGCTGTGATTCTCACAGAAATGTATCATGCAACTGGTCTACACTCCATTTTTAACAGATTTTAGTGGCTAACCTCAGAGACATCTTTGGAGTACAGTTTCTTTTCAAATATCGGAGCGTTGTCATTGAGATCACGGATTTTCAGTGTCCGAGTGTTATTGTACTGTAAAATAAAAAATAAAATAATTTGACATATTTCATTTGTAATGTATATTTGTAATGCATAAATATTGAAACTTTGCAACCACAGAATATCACCCACCTTAATAGGACCTTCACACATGACAGAATAATGCAGGGTGGTAGCACTCTATAAGACAGGAACACAGTGGATTACCTTCAAATGAGTCATTTATGTTTAAACTAAACCGAACAGCATAAAA